GTGTGTGTGTGTGCGCGCACACATTCCCCTTTAAACTCAGAGACAGCTGGCCTGCAAGGCAGACACGGATCTGAGAGGACAGAACTGGGTCAGACTAGTATGTTCTTACTGCTGCACAGCCACTACATCTATGTGAATGTGTTTGTGTTTGCATGTGCAAGTACAAAAGTGTTGGAGTATCTGAGTGGAGCCATAACATCGTCACATCCCTTTGGGCCACAGTATCCTCACCAGAGGTTTAGAAATGTGCCCTCAAAACAGAGTTCATTGCTTGCTTACATTGAGGAAGGAAACTAATCTGTACTTGCACGTAGCATACATAATATTACACATGAACATAACATGATACTGTGATTTTGATCAAAGTTGTATACCTTTACATTTAGAAAAAGAAAAATGTATCTTCTCTTACTTATAATAATGATGCACATAATTCTTTAACGGTTGAATGGAGTGGTAGAATAAGTTCAAAACACATTCTGCAGTCTGGCAAAATTCATAAATAGGTGTTCTGCAACCACTGCAGCGAGAACTGGTAATTACACAAGTGGGACCTGGTGTAGTACTTTTATTGTTATCTGTGGCAATTGAAAAAAAAGTTATTTTTTCAACCTCTTCTAATCCAAAAGCACCATTGGGGTTATATCTACAAGTGCATAGTAGTAAGTTTAACTACAATGTCCACTCTCTAAATTATACAGGCTGGAATCATTGTAACAACAGGGTCACTAGCTTGAGGCTATTAGCTGAGCGGGCAGGAAAGAACAGGCTGTGAAGGGGAAGCCCCCAGGACAAGAATGAGAGGGGAAGTGGGACTGCCACAGGCTGTTGTATTGAAATGCTCCTGAGAAAACCAGGGTGAGGTAAAGGCCAAACAAGACAACAACTGCTGGACTAGGACAATAATAAGTATTATATTTTTTTTCTGTATCTAAAAGGCTTAGAAATATTGCTTCTCTTGAGTGGGTTAAGATTGCAGCCAAATTTAGATCCTGGCCCACAGCTCAAGAAACTAAAAACTAAACAGGTGAGCAAAGAGAGGAAATGTGATAGAAATGAGAAGCTTTTACAGCTTCTGAACTCATAATTTCTGGATAAAACAAACTGCTCTAAATTATAAATGTTTAAATATTGTTTGTGAAATGCTAATTCACAGCAGTTTTCATTAACCTTTAACCGCACAGAAACGCATTTTAAAAAAGTCCCATAAAACTGTGTGTAAGATATGGACTGATAAATGAGCCACAACTTGCAAAAATCACTAACAGGCTACACAGACTTTAAGCTTTTGTTTGATGCTGTGATTGGTGGCTTAGGCCCAAACACAAGAAAAACAACGACTAGACGGAGCATACAAGCACTAGTTGCCTCTGTGATGCAGAGGACTGGCTAGCCGTGCGCCACAGCTGCTGCAGATTTGTTTACCGAGTGCCTGGTGTTCTCCCAGCAAATGTTGAGTCAGTAATGAAAGGCAGCACTAAGCAGCAAAGGAGCATTGATGAAAAGAAATAAAATAGAAAAGAGACAGGGAGAAGAAAAACTCAACAAAGATGCCTGCAGATGCTCATGCTAGCTCCTGCTCAAAAACTTGAACAGGAAAACACTGTGTGGTGTGCTACAGAGATACCCTTGCATCTTCAAAGTTACAGTGTGTTGTGTTAGAGGATGTGAGAATATGGTTATGATTGCTTTGTGGACAGGAAAAAGAAAGAATGCAAGGATGTGTTCAGGATATCAGAAAAAGCTGAAATAATGATGGAAATCAAAAAATCTTAAGCGTGCACATGAGAAGAAACACTAATATTCACTGACTGACAGGAATACAGCTGTAATAATGATATAAATAACTCATGGCCATCCTTTCTTTATCAAACACACACAAGCTGCAGCACAACGAGCATCTTAAAGCAGATTCAGCATTAGGGATCTTAGGGGCCATTAAACAGAGGCTTAAACATCTGAACCATGTTCTTTTAACTTGGACAAAACAATCCAAACAAGATTTCCCAAGGCTTTGAAAGAATTTGCTGTTATTATTGTTAGTGTTATAAGCACCAGATCCAGACTGTAACTGCACAGACCTACTTTGGAAACAGTTGTCAGAATCCTTTCAGAAGGCCAAAAAAAGGAAAAAGGAAAAAGCAGTCAACTGAAAACAGCTTAGACTAGAGTCTTAAATTTGAATTTGGTTTTAATTTGGTCAGCCTACCTACATAATTTAGGAGCTGTATCTAGTCATTATTTTATACTGGAAGTGAAGGTGAGCTGTTAAACTACAATTATAATCACCATAATTTATTGTACTGACAATGCAGTAAATCTGTCAATGCTGCTTTTCACATCAGTGTATATGTCCCAAGGCAAACTGAATAAAAACTCTGAAATGAAGCTAAATGATGGACTGGATAATAAAAACCATTTATAATGCCCAACACATTTGTCTCACAAAATTTGAGAAAATCAAAGAAAACGTAACAGGATGCAGGATGATAGATTAAAAGGACGAGTTACACAGTGAAATGTCGCTAAACATGCAGCCAGTACTCAGCAAACATGCACCGAACTGAAAAACATCATCAAGCTAAATGAAATTTTAAGATGAGACAATCTTAACACAGCCACCATTAAAGCGTCAAAGTAAAAAACAACAACATCTATTTCAGGGCAATTTTTTTTACTGTTCTGACACCAACCTGGGTGGCGTTTGCCCACAGTGGACGTGGCAGAGTTTGGGGTAGTGCTGCTGGTAGTCGTAGAAGAAGAAGAGTAAGATGATGAAGGCGAAGAGGAAGAGGAGGAAGAGGAGGAGGAGAGGGTGAGAGCGCTGAGGGCTCCTGCAGGCAGTGGCTGGCCTCTCTTCAGTAGCTGCCTGTGCTCCTGCTGGCGGAAGCGCGGGGGCACCTCTCTGGGTGGGTAGCGAGCACTGGCAGAGGACAACTGGCACTGCTGCTGAGGGGGAGTCTGAGTTGGGAGTTGGCTACTGGAGGAGGCGCGCTTGCCATTGCCAGAAGAAGAGGAGGAGGAGAGGGGCAGCGTAGGGCTGGCGGGGTGGAGGTGGTGGGGTGGGCCGAGACTGGGCTTAGTGGGAGCAGGCTCTGGCACTGGATGGATACAATACACAGGCACACAGGCACATACAGACACACACACAGAGAGAAAGACACATGCAGGTAGCAAGGTATTAATGTCTGGGTTAATTCACTATTAGCCTTTTATATCACATAAATATATTTGCTGGGTAGTTTAGACATTGAAAACATGTTTATGTTGACATTTATGTTGAAATGTCTGTCAGCATCTAAGCAGTGAAGTTGTCCTGAGCGGTAGTCCAGTTAAATCTATTCCTTGGTAACCCAAATTCACTTTTTTAAGGACTACTGTACTACAGTAGTACTATATAAATATGCACATGTGGAGATAGCACAGAAAATAGCTATCTTACCAAGTTATATTTTAGAAGTATGTGACGGGATAGGACTACAGTTAATGATATTCAAAGTCCTATTTATGGGGAAGATCTGTAAAGAATGAGCAGCAGACATGTTTCATTTTCATTCATGGTTCAGTGTATTTTATGTATAGTAGCACTTATAGCACTTATTAATAACGGAATCTGTTTGCCTGCACAGTATGTTGGCGTGGACTATCCCTTTTGTCTAACATATGTTACGGGCCCAGACGCACTCTACGAAAAGGTCATATTTCTTCTGCTGACTGAACAACGACACACACACAAACACATGGAGACACCTTTCCCTGCTGGTTTGGCCTCAGTCTGACCCTTTCCCTGTGGTTGCAGTGACCAGCCAGCCGTCTAATTGAGCGTTAGCCTGAAAGGTGTTATTATTAGCAGGACCTGGATAGCTAGCAACTAAACAGATTGGCCCGGCTAAAGTTTCCTCTCCAGGGTGCTGCAAGGCTCGAGGGAAAAAACATTCTGACCTATACACACTGAATATTTCTTATTGGGGAAGCTGAAGAGGGTGTTGGAGTGAGTCTGTGGGTATATATGTAAGTTAGAGTGGAGAGAAGCTGGAGAGAGAGGGAAACCTTAACTCGATCTGGTACAGCAGCGCTCCACCTGAGAGTTATTTCATAGCTTTCATACTGGTTGTCATTAGCTAATGAACTAGAGCTGCACCAAATTCTGGTTTCTTGTTTAAATGCATGGCAAATGGAGTTGTTTTCTATAGTCCCTAGATAGATATGACCATCCTACACAACAGCTGAGACTGCATTCACTCAAGGGAGGGCAGAGAGAGATTGAGAAAGACAGGTTTTTTATTTTTGTGTGTGTGTGTGTGTGTGTGTGTGCGTGTGCGTGTGCGTGTGGAGGGATGAGGATTATTTTTTAAAACCATGAAATAGTGGGAACATTTTTTAATTAAAGCTTCTCTCTGTCCAGTGTGAGAGTCTGAACTGTTCATACAGCGGTCCTGTGCTGCAGTGCTGGCACACAGTTACAGGCACACACAGGCAAAAGCTGCCACACTGGAGGTTAAAGTAAATTCAGAGCACAGAGGTATTCACTGTGCCTGCCAAGAGCTTGTCTGAAAAGCACGGCTAAAAACAGAGGCCCTTCTCAGTGATCACGACACTAATCCAGATGGCTGCCTACCTGCTGACACACAGAAACCACAGCGAAATGTAGGAAACTTGAATTTGCATTAATACCGACAAATCCAACACTTCTACATGGAGATAACTATGTGTGTTAGTAATTAAAGGCAAAACATAATAGTCTCTCTTTTCTTCTATAGATGCCCTTCACAGACACACACACAGCCTTTACATGTCTCTAAAAAAAAACATTCAAATGCAATCAACACAAAAAGACTTATTTGAACCCCTTTCCACCAATGAGATTTTAGTCAAACTAACATGCAGAGACAGGGAGAGACAGGAGAGAGAGCGAGAGAGAGAGAGAGAGAGAGAGAGAGAGAGACAGAGAACAGAGGAGACAGAGAGAGCAGAGGATCAGAGAGAGAGAGAGAGAGAGAGAGCCTTCCCCCCTCCAGCAGTATCTGGCTGGCTGTTGACTTGGAACTGCAGCTGGTGACGCACATCTCTGATTAAATTCAGCACAGCCCGCCTGACGCTGCCTCGACCAATCAGGCAGCAGGGTCGTGAATACACGCTGCCCTGCCCCCTTTCCTCTCTGTCCTCCGCACTCCGTTTCTAATCATCCCCCCCCACACACACACACACACACACCTACCTCTGTCTTTCCATCAGTGGGTTGCTCCAAAACCCCACTGCTCTCTCCTCTTTTCTATTCTGTGTCTACCGGTCTCCCGGCTTGGTGTTCTCTGCTCACTACCTCTAGGCCTTTATCCATCTTGATCCCTCATCTCTTGTGTTTCTGTCTCTTTTCTCCCGTCTTGTTTCTGTCTCTTTACTTGGCCATTGCCTGGTTTCCAGTCCTCTGTCTCCCCGTCTCCCCACTCCGAATCTCTCCCCTCCACCTAACCTCTCTCTGTGCTTCCCTTTTGAAGTGCACATTTCTTGGACCCCATCTCTCCTTTTCTTTTCTCCTGTTGTTAATTGTGTAAACTATATATAGACTAGAGACAGAACATTTTAAGAAACCCAGTGACCTTTAAAAAGAAACTCAATGTTTAGTTTTGTTTTGGTTCCTGGACTCTAGCTCCTGCCACTGAAAAGGGGCCTCGACTCAAGGTAGTATTTTCCAATGGCCCAGGAACTACAAGGATGCAGTTTGCTCTAATAATAGATATTGCAGATCACTGCACAAATTGAAGTCTGGCTAATGGGAAACTTTGTGGGCAGAACTAATTGAGATTACATGCATATACTGGTTCTTGCTAGAATTAGACGTAGGCAAGTGAATTCCATTAAATGTTTTTGGAATTTTTTGATTTATTTATTTTCTATTTAGTTTTTGAAGTTAATGTAGCAAAGTCCAGACTAGTTGACAATCAAGAAACAAAAGTGAAATTTGTCAATCTGTAGCAGGTGACCTACTTCGAACATGCACGTCGCTTCTCTTCTCCTCCTCTGCACATGTCTTTTCTGACATACATCACAGTCACACAACATTTTGCTGTCTCAAACACAACTCGCTAAAGGAGCTTCTTCAGTTTTTGGAATCTCTTAGTTCCCATAACAATTTGGTTGAAAATACACATATGGCTGTTACTCAGTCAGCTCAACCCACTTTTTTTCTGCTCCCAGTCAGGTACAGGAAGCATATGAACTCAGAAGACACAGACAGACACACAAGTCCCTTAGTTTAAGCGTGCCTCCTACACACCCAACTTCACATGTCCTGTGTATGTGATGTTGTAGTAACAAGGGTGTATCCATGCTGGAACTCCCTTTATATTCAGATGACAACATCTTATTTCTTCTGACATATTTCTATAAAATAATCATGAATCGTGATTTAAAACCACATTTTCACAAACTTATTCAATTACATTATTCTACGCTTGCAAAAAGATAAGTGCTGCTATAGCACTATCCAGCTGGGTAATGTGTAACCATCTATGGTGTAATCTGTATTTAACAAGTGTATCAGTGTTAATGCTCTCACACAGCTCACACGCAGCTCCTCTCTGCCCTGGACAAACATAAATACTTTTACTGAGAAATGTCTTTCATTTTTAGGAGGAGAGATCTTTTCGTAATCCATGATGGATGGGTAAGTGCTTTTGAAGAGGCGGGGGTGGGCTGTATAGGAAAAGACTATGAGGGGAGCAAAAATGGAGAAAAGTAGGGAAAACTCTTCGATGACAGTGCGTCTGTAGGAGATTAAATAACGAAAGTGAGTATGATGGTTAAACTTACTGCCTGTGAAAGGCAATTAATTCAACACAGTAAATTAGTGAGGTTACAAGCTTATTGCATTTGAACTCAACTGGATAACTAACAGCTTTGCAGAAACAGGGTTTCTTTGCTTATTAAGCCCTTACTAATTGACAGCTTCTAATATCAAACCTTTCCTTTAAATATCTATTTACAGGAAGCTTTTTAAGAAATCTACAAAGTGACATTTTCACTGATTTTCATTGAGTATTGCTAAATGACCTGACATCAGGGGCTCACCACGACCTATCTGTCCAACCACGTTGGACATTGGTAACTTATAGGTATCATCTTAAAAAGAAACCAATATGCAAACAGACAAAACATGGAAAAAAACAGACTGCTGAAAATAATCACTGACATAGGTAAATACAGAAATATTTAAGTAGCAGTGCAGGTGTTGTGAAAAACAAATTTAGACTTTTGTGTGGTGGTGGCCTTGGTATCTCTAATTGACGGTGAAAAGGAGAACCAATTAAATAAGCATTTGTATCAAGTGTGCTGTAAATTCCATTAAACCCTCCAGCTGAGGCGCTCTCTGCAACCTTGCACCAAACTTTTAATTACAGCCCTTCTTCACACTAAATGGTTAATTACACACAATGAGAGCGAGCCAGGAAAGAGCAATGGTTTAAGAATAGAGATCAAGTGAGCACAGATGAAGGGGGGGGGAGCATGGAAGGCAGAGGGAAATGCATAAAGGAATCAGATATAGATTCAAAATCCACAAACATGGATTTGTTTGGGCAAGAAGGTAAGGAGCCTGTTATAAAGAACAACTGTGATTGGTTCACTGAGGCTAGTGCCAGGCAGTGCAGGTTCCCATATCCATGTCTATTGTCTGCAGAGCCACTTTATTATGCAGCCATGTTTATAGAAGGGGGAGGGATGGACACAACACACAGGCCTATATGCCCTACACAATAGTGCATTTCTTAATCCAATAAAGGCTAAGAGGTAGGGAAGGTAAGGACAATATAGCAGGTTTTAAAGTGGGCTTACATATGTGCACAACGATTTTAGACATGCTGTTTTTCACATGGTTTTATAGTGGTAAACAGTTGTGTGCTTCAATGTTTGCTTTTAGCTTATGAAAACAAGCTAAAGAAAAGAAGATGTCCTCAAAACAATATGGAGGCAGAGGCACAGCTAGATGGATTTTCTAGGTGAACAATATGCACACTCTGAAAACAATAAATGAGTTCATGACCTTATCTATATCACACCTCTCATTTCCTTCCGCAAATTCTCTGCTGAAGCAGATTTGGGCTCC